AATCATCGTGCAAGTACCTGGGCGTGGCCTGGCATCCATTTTGGTCATTTTCGGTCGATTTTCTTAAAAAAGTAAAATGATATAACTCCAAGGAACATTCTTATTTCTGGCCATAATTTCGTATTCATGATGCTAGTGTAGGCCTTAAAGTATTCCCATGCAGTGATTCTCAAAAGATTATATCGTCACCTATTGGCATAGGGAAATGCAAAAGTTTTACACTTTGATGTGCTACTCCTAGCCATTTAACCTAAAACTTATTATGAATGACAATTTATGACATGGTAAGATAATTAATAAACAAACAATGAATTGCAAGAAACAAGCCGATACAAGCTCCAAAGTAACACTTTTTTTCCACTTCAATCCCTGGTCTTCTAGTCGGTTGAACATTGAACCGTCGATGAAGACCATGCGGGTAGATCAGAGAGCATTAAAAAATGCATTCCTCCACATGTTTTTTAGTAATTAACAGTGTGCAGACTTTTCTTCGCTGACTTTGACCATTTAATCATCCATCCAAAACATCACCTGGAACACGGCCATCACCTCACCTTTAACGGCAAATTTACCATGTGTTACTGTCGTTACCCTAAATCTCTTAAGGAGAACTTCTCCCACTTATCACGAGTTGAATCAGAGCAGTATCCCTTCCCTGTGCGTCGTACAAATAAGTACTGCTTTTATCATTAGTCCACTACATAGTAAGTTAACATTAAACTCTAGTGAGCTGACCTAGTTATTTAGCAGCCAATAATACAGGACCAAATCCGAAAGGAGCATACCAGCAGACCACACGGAATCCTCCCTCCTCCTTCCAAACTGTCAAAAAAGAATATTGTCTATTTTTATTATCCTTCATCTTTCTAGATACCTTTGTAAAAAAGAGTTGATGAAAATTGGATCCTGTTTCAATAAAATCACAATTTTTGCCATTATTTCTATTCTAATGTATGTAAAATTGAAAGAGTCCAGCAGATGTCACCATCTCACCACTAGGGGGTGTGTCAGTGTATTTTCTGCACACTTGTCAAGTTTCTGAAAAGAACAGTAGCAAGTGAAGTGTAACAAAGTGAATCGGCACCCTCACTCAGGCACCATGTTATACTTTGTCATTCATAATCATTTTTATTGTTATATTATTATACTTTATTATGCATCTTCTTCTATTGGACTAACATCTTTATGTTAGTCCAATGATATCCCAACGGAAACAATATTTGTGTTTTTGTACTTTCCCATGACACTAATGATACAGGTGGTTTGCTGGTATTTTCAGAAAAGTATGGCTTTATATAATAAAGGCTCTTATGAGGCGTGTCAGCTATTCATTCGGTTTTAGAGGAGGCTCATATATTATTCAGCAGAATAATACATTGTGAATTTCTATAGTTATTACAAAATACATCGACCCGTTGGGTGTGTAAGTACTTGACTTAAAGACTATTTCACTTTACATACTTTTTTACTACTTCAATAACCCAAAAGCTTAAAGACATCTTGATATATTTGAACGATTATTTATAATTTACACATATCACAGCTTTTTAAGAATCCTAAACATGGAAATCTTGGACATATAAAATCATATTGTTGTGTTTCATTAATAGTTCACAAATTAAGAATAAGTGAAGGACATGTGTCAAGTTAACACAAATGTAATCCATATGGCCCTTTTGTGGTGACATATGAAGGAACCTTAAAATATTGGTATAGTGCAGCATCCAAATACATCTTCATTTTGAACAATAAAGAGGCTTAGTGCTCAGTCAGTGGGACATTAACAATGGTTCATTCAAGGAACCTTACGGTTACAGGTTAATAAACCAAGTATTTATGTAATGCCTGTCAATTTAATTACGATCTTTTGTCTACAGCTCTGGCGACAGTGAAAAACAATGTATCGATTTATATTAACTTTAATATTAAAATCCACTGTACACATAATGATGAATATATACATCACAATGCCTCGGTGATTAATAAGAAATGCTGTTAATGCAGTCTAAATCTGTGTTTTCTGCATTAAAATATTTGTTGGAAAATCCAAATCACCACATCTCAATGCACTAATAATGAAGGAGTTATCTTTTTGGCATGATCATCTGATCATTTGCATATGAATTATTTTCACTTTGCTTCTTGCGCGAAGAGAGTCCATTAGACCAGTGTTTATCAACCTTTCTTGCGTCAAGGCACACTTAAAACACAGAAAAAAATCTCACGACACACCAACAACCGGAGATGATATGAAAATCAATCCCAAACAGTTTCAGCATGAGCATAATATACTCTAAGAAATCAGGGAAACACGTGTTCTATTTGTTGTGTTTTATTAAACATAACATCATCCTAATGCCAAGATGGCACAGGCTTTATGCCCAGGTATCTCTTAAGCCTAGTTTATGCTTCTGCGTTTTCAGAGCGACGCAGACCCAAGCCCCCCTTGCGTGTCTTTTCACACCTCCTTGCGTCCTTGCGTGTGTCGAGACATTTTTTTAGCAACGCAAGCCTCCCGCAGCGCACCAGGCTGCGATTGGTCCGCTAACTACATAATTTACGGAGTCTCACATTTCCGCTTTCATAGCCCGATACCGCCATTATTAAAACGAATAATGTTTACGAGAGAACGGAGCAGATTTAAGAACTTTTGTCGGAAGAAATGCGTAAATATGACCGCTTATACAAGCCGTCATTGGCGGGTTGTATATGGCGTTATAGTTGTGCCACAATCCTGAGCGCGTAATTTTAAGTTGAGCACAGAGAACTATATTTTAAGCAAAGAAAAACATATTCCGTGCGCGCAGTTTACTCAGGTGCCCTCTCCACAAACTCGTTTTCTGCGCGCAGGCAGCCGTTGCTGCGCTCGCTCCACCTCTTCACGCTGCGCTCGCTCAACGTTTCACTCACGCGCTCCCTCAACGTTTCCCTCACGCGCTCGCTCGACTTGCAGCAGCGTTACATTTGTGCCACAAAACCAACCAATCAGAGAATTAAAGAAGGTCAATTGTGATTGACTGTTGGTCTCCAATCACAACGCTAGTAGAACTACCTACAGCATCGCGGAAGCGCAGCGAGTTGTTGAAGTTTGTGCTAAATGTGCTAAATGCTAATGGCCTGGATTAAAACACTTGTTGCTGTTCTCATCATTTGCTTCGGTCATGTCTGATGGTGGCTAGCCGGACTTCTAATATCACTTTTTTTCGTCTTCTTTAGGAAGCGTTGTGATTGGAGACCAACAGCCAATCACAATTGAGTGATTGACGCAATGACGCAAACGCAGAAGCATGCGCCAGCCTTAAATCTCACTTTTTTAAATTGTCGCCTCAGCAAATCTGCCTATTAATTACGCTGCGTACCGCCACCCACAGGCAGAGGGGACTATTGAGCCTTCATACCACCAACAGCGGGACGACACACGCACACAAGTTGGCTCTTCTTTTTTTTTCCATCAATGAAGTGACAGTATGTAAAAAAATATTTTTTTTTCACGGCACACCTGACAGCCTCTCGAGGCACACCAGTGTGCCGCGGCAAAAAAATAAAAATAAAACTGCATTAGACGTAGAAAATGATCAAATCCCTAATAACAAGTCTGGGAGGTTTACAGAGTTAGCTAGTTTGTTTTTAGTAATTTTGCAACAGCAGACAGGATCTCCGTGGAGGATGTCTTGCTTGCCCGCTCTCCTCTTGATGAGGTAGCAGGGAGAAGACGGTAAAAGGATCCACAGACCCACCACAGCCACTGGACACTAACCAGGTGCTGTAGTTTTTGTTCTCCAGACATTCAACATCAGCATGGTAGATTTAGCAAGTTAGCAAGCAAACAAGTCACGCTCTAAAATGCTCAAATTGACCCAAAATGTGACTGATCTACTCACACTTGTCACACAGTGGGAAAACCACATTTCTATTGCCTGATAAATTGACAAATTTTATCATGATTGTTTTCAGTGATCAGTGTTATTAAATGGGGAAGTTGAATTGCCAGCTGTCCGCTGCTTTGCTTTGCTGGTTCCACCATGATTTGGGGATGATTGCAAAGGATGAGCCCAACAGCGGGTTATATCTTCATCCAAAAGACTATTCGTAACGTTTATCTCAACTTCCTATTGGTTAGGACTTCTGTGTGAGTGGTGCAGCAACCCTGACGTGTGAGGTGGTTAGCATAGGGCTAAACTATTATGAAGAAATTATTTCCATCTCTAAAATGCTAGTGCAAAGAAAAACAATAAGTCTGATATAATTGCGGTATTTTATTGATTCATTGTATATAATTACAATATGCCACATTTGTGTCATAATGTAAGAACAATCCATTCACCAATCAACATAAACGAAAGAGAAAACACCCAGTGTGATTATACACACGACAGTTGCGAAAACCTATATCCTATACAACAACAGTGAAGTTAGGAAAACAATGTGGTATTTAGCCATTATTACATTCCTCACATCCAAAAGCATTGAAGAACACAGGAAATTGCACATTTAACAGAATTTGATTATGTCCCAATAATCTGCTCTGGGTTTGGGAGTTGTAGCCGTTTGTCCAGCTACATAGTAGTAAAAGAAGTTTGATTATTAGGGTTGGGATGTTGCCCATTTCTTCTCCCACTACATTGGCCTCCAGTATCTCTACTGGTAGTTTAACCTCTCCTGGGATAGACGCATTGATTAATGCGGCGTCTATAGACCAAATCGGCTGGGCATTGTAGGACGTAGGTTAGTCCAGCTACACAGCTGAGAAAAGAATTTCGGTCGTCACGGTTGCGGTACTGCCCATCTCGTCTTCCATGACAGGGGTTTCCAGTTTGACTACTGGGATAGTCACAGACCTTAATGGATGGGTTATACACCAAATTTGCTGGGCATTGTTGGACGCGTTTTTCTCCAGATATACAGTAGAGGAAAGAATGTTCGTCGTCAGGGTTGGGGTATTGCCCATTGGGTCTTCCATCACAGGGGTCAGTAGAGGATTTCATCGCTTCAATGCCGGGTAAACCTAAAACAGTTCGTGTTACACATGTGTTAGAAGCTCTTAGGAACCTGAAAGGGCACATATTTTCACTGATAACACACCTATATACATTTATAAAGAGTGGTTACATTAAAGATGATCGCATTGATTCATATATATGCTGAAAACCACTTCCCATCCTTGTTTTCCAAAAATTGTTAAGTTCATTTATCTAACAGTGACACTGTTGATTGTGAACTATACATGTTATAAACTTACCCAAGCTGGCGATGATCAAACAGAGAGCTGGAAAGTGACACACTTGTTAGTATGGGGTTTAAACTAAGCTCAAGAGGGGCCTGTACCAGCAAGCAGTTCAACAACGAGCAGTTCAAGTTTTTGCTTCTCTGATTTAACCTTAACAATCAAAATCCCGCCAAGCAGCCCCACGAAGCTGGTTATCAACTTTGTAAAGCAAATATTTAATCAGTGTGCTTACCAGCAGTTAGAGTGAGCTTGCACATTTTGAGACTGTGTAGATGCACTGAAAGAGAAGCATTTGATTAATTTGCAGCGTGAACATTTTTTTTAAGAGACATTCACCAGACTTAGTAGACAGTATTCCTGCATATTAAAAAAAGTAATGTATACAGAGCATCAGAAATTAAATAAGTTAAAAGTGGATGGTTGGGATGAAAGTAAAAGGTATACTTACAAGTGGAGAAAGAAGCATACACTGTCTCTGATGTGTCAAGTGACTGACAGATGACTTGCAGCGATGCTTTATATGGTCGAGGAGAAGACAAGGTGTGGCAAATATGTTGGTCACAATGTTTAGATTATGCAGCTGTACAAAAGCCAATTATACAGGAATCTTTTTGAAAGAGACACCCAACTAAGTTAGCAATTATGGCCAGCTCTGGTTTGGCATCTGTGTCTGTGTGGGAAAAGGTCCATTAAGGACAGACTTGTGTCCTTAATGCACTTTTAACCTCTGCCTTTAATTAAACAATTTAAATAAGCTTTTAATTTATAATTTTATTTGCTGTTTTTAATTGTCACTTTATTGTATGAAATGTTATGATGTGAAGCACTTTGAGTCTGCCTTGCCTTGCCTAAAAGACTAACAAATTGTAACACATAAATTGTACTTATAACGCCACTTATCTATAGCAAATTGTAAATTGGCTTATTTGAGCAAATTGCACTTTCCTGTTTCTTGCTCTTCTGAGTTTGTACCCTATGGTTGAATGCACTTATTGTAAGTCGCTTTGGATAAAAGCGTCAGCTAAATGACATGCAATGCAACGTAATGTGATGTGATAATGGTGGGAAACATTGATCTGGCAGCGGGTGGTTATCAAAACATTGGCCAAATAACCCGTTTTCCCAGGCTATGTGAGCAAATACAGAATCCCTTTGTGTTCATTTCTAAAGCCTTGCATTAAGACATGCATCACTTTATTGAAGACTGCGGTACTTGTAAGTCGCTGTGTTGTGCCAGATTCTCAATAAAGTAAGAAAAAAACATTTACGGCAACCCATGGTCATGAAGAAACTCATTAAACGTCACATGGAATTTGTATGTCGCTAAATACCCAACTGAGATTGGCTTGTGCTGTTCAGAAAAAGGAACCTTCCACCGACCACTTTTCGCACCCGGCGTCACTCTGATTTGTGTCATCTGCAGGTGCATCGCGGAGAAAACCAATAGGGTGTCTGAATAGTATATGTTTATACTTCTCATACAATCACAATGAAATTCACTTTATCCGTATGGCGCGATTTTTCTGGTTAGGTTTTTTTTGTGTGTGTTTTTGAATGACGACAAGCTGGAATGAAAACAAGCCTAAATGAAATTAGGCTATTTTTAAAATGTAAGGAGTAGAAAATATAGATATTTGCGTGAAAGTGTAAGGAGTAAAAGTAAAAAGTCATCTGAAAAACAAATACTAACCCAAATTTCTACTTAAGTAAGGTAACAAAGTATTTGTACTTAGTTACGTGACACCTCTGCACAACACATACAGCCACTACAACTACCACAACATCCGCCATCTGTCTGAATGACTGCTTTCTTGGCAAGGTCGATGGGCCTTACGTCAACCCTGATGACCCAGGAAGTTTTACAACTGGGCCCACACCCGTAGTTAATTATTGAAATTGGGTGTGTTCTTGTTTGGGAACTTTTTAATCACTGTTTAATTATACATTCTTCATTTTCAAGGCAAGGCAAGTTTATTTGTATAGCGCTTTTCATACACAAGGCAGTCTCAAAGTGCTTCACATCATAACAAGTGAAATAAAATGCAGGAATTAAAAGAAAATTAAAAACAGCAAATAAAATTATAAATTAAAAGCTTATTTAAATTGTTTAATTAAAGGCAGAGGTTAAAAGTGCATTAAGGACACAAGTCTGTCCTTAATGGACCTTTTCCCTTACATTACTTTTACTTTTATTTCTTAAGTAGTTTGGAAAGAGAAGTCATGGAAATCCATTGGTCGAAATGTGTATGAACCCTGGTTATAAGAGTGGAAAAACGTTGCCTGGTCTGATGGGTCTCAATTTCTGTTGTTTCTCATTAGTTGAACACGCAAAGAAAATTTCAAAAAGGGAGGTATCTAGGAGGCACACAGATGCCAAACCAGAGCTGGCCATAATTGCTAACTTAGTTGAGTGTCTCTTTCAAAAAGATTCCTGTATAATTGGCTTTTGTACAGCTGCATAATCTAAAAATTGTGACCAACATATTTGCCACACCTTGTCTTCTCCTCGACCATATAAAGCATCGCTGCAAGTCATCTGTCAGTCACTTGACACATCAGAGACAGTGTATGCTTCTTTCTCCACTTGTAAGTATACCTTTTACTTTCATCCCAACCATCCACTTTTAACTTATTTAATTTCTGATGCTCTGTATACATTACTTTTTTTAATATGCAGGAATACTGTCTACTAAGTCTGGTGAATGTCTCTTAAAAAAAATGTTCACGCTGCAAATTAATCAAATGCTTCTCTTTCAGTGCATCTACACAGTCTCAAAATGTGCAAGCTCACTCTAACTGCTGGTAAGCACACTGATTAAATATTTGCTTTACAAAGTTGATAACCAGCTTCGTGGGGCTGCTTGGCGGGATTTTGATTGTTAAGGTTAAATCAGAGAAGCAAAAACTTGAACTGCTCGTTGTTGAACTGCTTGCTGGTACAGGCCCCTCTTGAGCTTAGTTTAAACCCCATACTAACAAGTGTGTCACTTTCCAGCTCTCTGTTTGATCATCGCCAGCTTGGGTAAGTTTATAACATGTATAGTTCACAATCAACAGTGTCACTGTTAGATAAATGAACTTAACAATTTTTGGAAAACAAGGATGGGAAGTGGTTTTCAGCATATATATGAATCAATGCGATCATCTTTAATGTAACCACTCTTTATAAATGTATATAGGTGTGTTATCAGTGAAAATATGTGCCCTTTCAGGTTCCTAAGAGCTTCTAACACATGTGTAACACGAACTGTTTTAGGTTTACCCGGCATTGAAGCGATGAAATCCTCTACTGACCCCTGTGATGGAAGACCCAATGGGCAATACCCCAACCCTGACGACGAACATTCTTTCCTCTACTGTATATCTGGAGAAAAACGCGTCCAACAATGCCCAGCAAATTTGGTGTATAACCCATCCATTAAGGTCTGTGACTATCCCAGTAGTCAAACTGGAAACCCCTGTCATGGAAGACGAGATGGGCAGTACCGCAACCGTGACGACCGAAATTCTTTTCTCAGCTGTGTAGCTGGACTAACCTACGTCCTACAATGCCCAGCCGATTTGGTCTATAGACGCCGCATTAATCAATGCGTCTATCCCAGGAGAGGTTAAACTACCAGTAGAGATACTGGAGGCCAATGTAGTGGGAGAAGAAATGGGCAACATCCCAACCCTAATAATCAAACTTCTTTTACTACTATGTAGCTGGACAAACGGCTACAACTCCCAAACCCAGAGCAGATTATTGGGACATAATCAAATTCTGTTAAATGTGCAATTTCCTGTGTTCTTCAATGCTTTTGGATGTGAGGAATGTAATAATGGCTAAATACCACATTGTTTTCCTAACTTCACTGTTGTTGTATAGGATATAGGTTTTCGCAACTGTCGTGTGTATAATCACACTGGGTGTTTTCTCTTTCGTTTATGTTGATTGGTGAATGGATTGTTCTTACATTATGACACAAATGTGGCATATTGTAATTATATACAATGAATCAATAAAATACCGCAATTATATCAGACTTATTGTTTTTCTTTGCACTAGCATTTTAGAGATGGAAATAATTTCTTCATAATAGTTTAGCCCTATGCTAACCACCTCACACGTCAGGGTTGCTGCACCACTCACACAGAAGTCCTAACCAATAGGAAGTTGAGATAAACGTTACGAATAGTCTTTTGGATAAAGATATAACGGAGGGAGATCGCCGCAGACGGCGGTTTGCCGGTCGAGAGGTGTCCGCGATGAAAAGCAGCAGTGGCGATGCACGGGGAAATAAAGTCTATGATAAATAAATAAATAGACGTGACTCTATAGGTCGTCTTCAACAAAACACGTCACTCTGCCTGTTGTTGCGGCGGCAAATTGCTCTGCAACGCAGAACCATGAATTGATTGAATCCAACCCGCTTCTACAACCCGCCAATGACGGCTTGTATAAGCAGTCATATTTACGCATTTCTTCCGACAAAAGTTCTTAAATCTGATCCGTTCTCCCGTAAACATTCTTCGTTTTAATAATGCGGTATCGGGCTATGAAAGCGGAAATGTGAGACTCCGTAAAGGATGTAGGTGTGCCGTGAGATTTTTTCTGTGTCTTAGTGTGCCTTGACGCAAAAAAGGTTGAAAAACACTGCACTAGGGAGGTGCAGGTGATTGGACACAGGTGGAAACTATCAGACGATCACAGGGGATGACAGGACAAGGCAGGAAGTGAAGTTACCCGGGGACACGAGTGGCAGAAAACTACAAAATAAGACAGGACGTGAACCACACCGTGATACCACACCATCATATTTCACTTGGGATGGAGTGCTAGCGGTACTACACACCAGAGAACTACAGCTTTTAAGAGATACTTTTAGAACATCTGTAGGGTCAAGAGATACAGTATGTGTAATGCAACATTATGCCATGACAACATTGTGTCTATTTATTTAAAAATGACTTAAACCACAATAAGATTAGTTTCCTTTTTGAGATGCGGAACAGTGTCAGTAAAATGTAATGACAGTGATTCAAACATTTTCCAGAAAGAAAACACCCACTTCACCTGCAATTACATGAAGCAGCTGATAATAAATCACTCATAACTGTCGGATATAATGAAGATCAATTTAGACTGAACTGTAAAATTCTTCCACACATTATCAAACTCTTTTCGGCACACAAACATTAAGTAGACATTGATGCATTGTACAGGATCTGCCAAAGTTTAAAACAAGCATCAGAATGTTAAAGAAATGTGACATTAAATGTGTCTGGGTTGATGGTGCCTGACAGCCTGGTTTTGAGATTTTCAGAGCTGTTGATCTACTGATCCACTTGGATTTTCATGAACAACCTTGCAGGGTACCTAGAGACTGGTCAAAAAAGAGAAACTGCTAAAATATGCAGTGAACGAACAGAAAGTATCTGGGAGGTTCCCTAATTAGATGCGAGCATCAGAGCTACCTGAGCCAATTTCCAACTTATTCTCTAGCGCCACCACTAGTGTCTGGACT